TGTTACTGTGTGCGGAGAACAACAATGCTCAATGGCCCTTAGGAGCCCAAGAGCCATCTCTGAAGTTTTATTTTATTAAATTGGCATTGGGGAGTCCTTGAACCAAACCACTGTAATAAACCACTCAAACACAGACACACACACACACACAGTCAAACATACGACAGGCTGCCTACTTATCCAATGTAGGCAGTGCATCAGGACCACCCGGACTTGTCTGTTGTCTTAAGAATGTCATTGAGTCTCTGAACAGCTCTCCTGACGCAGCCCTCTAATCTGCCCGCTGCTGTCGGCTGTTTGCTGGGTGATGCGAGGGTTGCCAGGCAGGGTATTATGGTTTGTTGGAGTGTTTGGTCTGGGGCTTTGCTCTTTGATATCCTACACTCACATAAGCGGCTCAGTGGCTCTTCCATGCCTGTTACCCATGGTGACACGGTGTATGGTGCTACATGCCTGTTGCCTCAAATGGGGTGAAGACACGCCAACATGCTCACCTTCTGACCCCACGTGATTGGTTAAGAGTCGGTGGGTTGTTCGTGTAGGTGGGGCTGTGGTCGACTTGTGTTTACAGGATAGCGACACAGTTGTTGCTGTTGTTGGTTCGTCTTTGTGGGCTTTATCCCCTGAGCCTGTACAGCTTTGATCCATCCCCACCCAACAACAGACACATGACAGACAGCCGCTCACTCCTCATCAGGCTTATCAGGACAAAGCACATGTGTTTGTACAGCAAGGGGACAAAAAAGCCACTCACATACGCTCTAACAGCTGTTTTAACCCTCCCCACTGCTAGCTCCTTTCTGTTCATCCATTTTCCTCCTTTGTCACTCTGGCTTTCAAAAGAATGAAATATTATTGCTCATCAAGACTGGGCATTTGGAATGCAGAAAAGGCAGAAAACGTTGAAACTGGAACAACGCCCCTGTGTGCATGTGCTTGCTGGTGTGCAACTGTGTTTACTGTTGTTTACCACTCAGCGGTGGTAAAATCGAGATCATTAAACTTACTCTACCTGAAAACCTGAAAGGAGGACTGGCTCTGTAAAGAAAAATGGAAAACATAGATAGGCACTCCATGGCTTTTTGGAGAAATTGGAACACTCAAACAGCTCAATGTATCCCAAAAGACCTCAGCTATAGTCAAAATAGAAATATTTTGAAGCAACAGATCACAAGGTAACGTTTTACATTATTTTCTGCAGTTTTCCGGTGAGGTACCAGAGAACCGAGTGGATGTTGTTGTGGCTAATCTGACGGTGATAGACGCTGACCAACCACACTCGCCTAACTGGAATGCCATCTACAGGATCATCAGCGGAGACCCATCTGGGCACTTCACCATCCGCACTGACCCTGTCACCAATGACGGCATGGTAACCGTTGTGAAGGTAAGATACCAGCCTATCAGGACATGCTCTGCTTCTTGCCTTATAGAGGTCAGCGTGGAAGAAACAGTCACATCCCCTCTGGATTTAAACGCAAGCAATAATAGAATACAGAGTTAAATGTGGACAGGCTGGGGTCTTTGCCTTTCATATGCCCCTTTATGTCCAAATGAGAGATTGGAGGCTGCTGCGCCCTTCAGAAACAGCTCATACACTCACACACAGACTTAAACACAATGGCTGGCGAGACCACTGTAGCAAATTAGCTATTGATTTCTCAATTACAAAGGCAACGGTTTTTATACGCTCATAATGTTCTAGCTGCTATGGTAAATGACAGCAACAACAAAGCCATGTCTTTTAACAACCAGTTATGTTAGTGTTCAACCTCTCAGACAGAGGTTGTGCAGAGGGATTTACCCCATTTGGGTATGTAAAGTTAGTATATATGGGTCTTTAGCATTTGTATTTTTGTGTTCATCCATGAGTGGCTGTCTAAATGTGCTCGCCGTGTCGCATGTGTACAAATAACTTGTTTATTTGTTTGACCCTTAGGACCCAGGGGCATACTCCTCATGTATCCTGCAAATCAAACAATGTTTAAAAAATAACAATAACATCTCCCTAGAATTCCCACAGCACCCTGAGCAATGAACATTGGCATTTTGCTTCTCTTCATTATCTCTAGATGACTGCCTTTTTAATGCATTCCTCTCACTCCCTGATGTAAAATTCAGCAACCGGGTAGCCGTAAGCTTCCATAGAGACCCATGGGAGGTTATCAGGAAATCATAAAATAAGAGACAGGACACCCCCTGGGAAGAAAGGAGAAATAGACTGTCTCAACAAGTAAACAGAGGGGCATCAGCTTGCTCTGGGGAAAGGGAGCCGGAATGGTTCACTTCAGACTATGTGAGATAGGTAAAGTCAAAAAGGCGCTACCTTAGTTTTCCTATTTTACCAAGGGCATCTCCAGCTGCTAGTACAGAGACATCGAATCACACTGATACCCAGGTATGCCGCAATCTCCCACGAGGGACTTCTCCTCTGTAAACAAGGGCTGAAGTCTTAACCAGAACATGTCACACATTTACACTGCTCTCTGGGGAGTTTATGAGACTCATTCTCATTTTGCTGCACAGTAATAGATGCGTAGACAAACAAGCATGCACAAAAACACACAAACAGAGCCGCCTGGTTTGAATGACTCATTAAGATATGTAAATCACAGCTTATGATAAACATGGAAGATGACAGGGTAAGTGGAGAGGAGGAGAGAAGTGAGGCGAAGACAGATTTTCGAGGATTGAGAGAGCCAGACCGCAGAGAGCATAGATCAGAGGTGAGAAGACGAGGGGGTGGGAAGTTGGAGTCCGGCAGAGCAAATTAAGTAAAAGGAAAAGAGAGGAACGGGTGAAGCGATACAGAGGAGATGTAAGATGTGATGGCTCATGGGCAAAAGATGGAAGCCATGTTATTGACCTCTCACCCCTCTGGCTTCCCTCAGGGTGTGTGTGTGTGTGTGTGTGTGTGTGTGTGTGTGTGTGTGTGTGTGTGTGTGTGTGCCTCTGAGCGTGAATGTGTGTTTTCGTTAGCCTACAGCTATACTCTAGACCTCCCTGTGCTCTGAATACCACTGGCTGCAGATCAAAGAGCCTTGAGCGTGGTTTGCTTGTAAATGGGTTCCCCGTGCACCATTGGGTCACACACGAATACATACCCATGTGCTTAGATTTACTCACATCTATGTGCATGCACATACACAAGCAAACTGTAACACCAACTAATACACACACACAAACACATCCACTCCAGTGCCCTTGTCAACCAAGGAGCCTGATTAGAAATGCCTTTTATATCAAGGCTATGCTGGCACACTATCCACTGATAACACTCAGGCAATATAACATACAGATGTGCTCTAAATCATTAACATCACCATCAAACACCCCAGATACAAGCCTTGTGGCGGTAATCATCATCCGCCTATTTAGAAATGTGCCAGCAGTACCTACAAGCAGCGTATTTGTTCTCTTTTTTTATTTTCTTGCTTGTTGTTGTTGTCATTTGAACCTGATCGTGTAGTCTTCATTAGGAGTGTACGGGACTGTCACTCTGGTTTAGGCTCAGCCAGCAAAACCCCCTGTAGAGTACACACACACACACACACACTGAAAAGGCAGAGCCATGACAGCACCCTATGAATAGCCTAAGCTCTGCTGCCTCCTCTTGGGATGTGCGTATGTTTTAGTTTGCATGTGCTGGTTAGTTATTTAGAGAGAATATGAATCCAATTCATCAAGTGGCCACTTTACACGACATCTGTTCATTTATCATGTCCTTTATCATCAACAAGACTCAACGCATATTGCCCAAACACAGGCAGAAAGAGAAATGTTGATAGGGGTTTTAACACTATAATCACCATAATATTTATAGTAATCCCCCTGTGCTTGAATACTTGAAGTTGTTTGCACATAAAAAGTAATGATAATAATACTACCGATAGTAGGTAAGTAGGTAAAGGCTTTCTTTACCTGTAAATCAATAACAAATACTACAATTTCAAGTAAAAAATGTTTTATTTTTACATAAACATAATAATGACAATTATAAATACAGTCCAGAACAATGATATTATTGCAATAAATGCTAAAATATAGAGTTTATAAGAAGTTATTCACTTTGGTGAAATTGTTTGAGGCTACAATTTGTGGTGTGGTTACACTGAATTTTCATATTTGTGCAATGTTGTAATAATATATGTGAAACTGACAAAGTGAAATTTAGCACAAATGTACATATTTTAGAGTTTAGATATGTCTGTGAAGCGTATTGGTGAAACATTGCTGATGTATACAGTAGCCGTGTTTCCATCAACATTTTAATGCGAATTTTGAAGTATCGCATTAGAAAAGGTTGATGGAAACAGCAAAAATCCTTAATTTCGCAAAAAAAGTTTTTACGCTCACTTGAGGTGGTTTTTTCCTTTGTTGAAAAAGAGTAAATGCACTATATGGGACATGGAAACACTTTTTCCGAATAAGTTCTGACGTAGCGAACTTGTAACTCACGTCTGATCAGCTGTTTCTGCTGTCGGCGTCTTGCCCGGTTATGGAGAGTTCTGCATATTTGCAATAATTTCATGCACCTCACGGCTGTTAACGCTCATTTGTGCTGAGAAAAGAGGTGAATGCCAATCTCTCCATTTTTCTAAGATGACCTGCCATCAGGTTCAAGCAACTGGTTTTGTTTCTGGTTTGGAAGCCATACGTCTTCTTTATTACAGCCATGTGTAACGTCAACTAGCTTGCCGTAGCCTTGTTTATTCGCTCTAAACAAGCTGATGGAAACACACATATATCACAATTTCTTTTTTTTTTTTTCTTTTTTGCGACATTTCAAAAGTAAGCTTAAAATTCGCATGACAATTGGATGGAAACATGGCTAGTGATTCATTTGATCTTTCATTCTGGATTTCATCATCTACTAACTATCTTTCACTGTTTACCAAGAGAAGGACAAAAGGCCAATAATTTTGTAATGTTTAGACTACTTGAATTAAGTTTAACTTTAACTTCTCACACACTGCCATTAACATCCTTCCTTCCTTCAGCCAGTAGACTTTGAGATGAACCGTGCCTTCATGCTGACGGTAGTGGTGTCCAACCAGGCCCACCTAGCCAGTGGAATCCAGTCTTCGCTCCAGTCCACAGCTGGGGTCACCATATCTGTCCAGGACGTCAACGAAGCCCCTTACTTCCCCACGAACCCGAAACACATCCGCTTTGAGGAGGGTGTACCTGCTGGCACCAGCCTGACGACCTTCTCAGCCTCAGATCCCGACCGACTACAGATGCAGCAGACAATCAGGTACTGACATTTTGATGCCAGTACTGCAATTTTCTAACTCTGGTACAAAATCATTAAGATCTGATTCGATAAGTTCTGTTTCATATTGTCAGTCCCTAAACCCAGAAAAGCATTGTCTGATAGAAGTCTGACTAGCTGCATTATAAGAACAACCCTGGCAGAAAACCCTCCATATGCACTAACAGCCTCTTGGATAGGTTCCATGTCAGTAGTTAGGGGTCAAAGTTCAACAAGGCGACTATATTTTGGCATCACCCATCTCTCAAAGCCTCACTGCGCGAAGTTTATGAGCCAGCACAGAACTCTGAGTAAGGAGGGTAAGGTTAATAGGGAGCAATAGCCTCTGGGGTAATCAGGAGTGTGTGCATTCTGTAAGTTGCATGAGCATACACATGCAGGTGCACACACACAAACAGCAAAAGAGAGAGTGAACAGGAAATATGAGGGGGTGTGGGTGAGGGGGATAAAGAGAACAGCTGGCTCGAGCCCAAACGCCTGACACAGCATTATATCCACCTGCAGTGTTCTTTCTCTGCGCTAAGCCTCTCTGGATTTTAAATGTAAACCAACCTTTAAATGACCAGCAGGCCTTTCCTCAGTCGTGCTGTCAACTTGACAGTAGCAGTGACTGCATTATGGCCTTTGAAATTCAGAGGTAATCTATTAAGTACACTTTGCTGCGTATTGATATTGCAAAGACACAGGTTTAGATTAGGATCATGTGTGTTTCCACTCATGGTCACATGAAGAATGTCCTTTATTTATTATAGTGAGTGTATTGGTGTAATTTATAACTGATTATAACATGGCTGTTAGCTGTGATAGTAATACCACCTTCTTCCAACCCTCACACTCCAACAGCCCCTTCCTTCCCATTTTCTCTAGGGAAAAGAACCTAAACAAATTTCCCAGCTAATTTCCCAGCAAACGAGAGTAAATTGAGTGTACATTATAATTTAGGAAGATGCCAAAGTCACCAGCTGGGCTCTCTGTGCCTTCTCTCTGTCGCTCTCTCTGTCTCTCATCCTCTCTCCCTGTTGAATTGGCATTGACCTCCCTGTTTTTCCATGACCTGTGCAAGGCTGCAGTACTTTACATCTTGGAATTAAGTTAGCCTTTTACAAGCATTCTGTGGTCTGGCATGGTCTCCAAACACAAACCCAATCTCCTTCCTCTGCTCTTACCACCGGAGGAAGCAGGACTATAGAGATGGCAAATCCCCCACCTCATTCATTTGGATCCATCTGGATAGGATCACTTTCAATCCCCTACACCAGTTCCATAAAAGGTATCTACTTTAGACTGTTATGCAAGGACACTAATCACAGCTGTTCCCCTCGTCACTCGAATTCTCATTATTCTGGAGAAATAGAAATTCAGGGGCTCGTTCTCGTTCTTTCCTTTTCAAACTTTCATCTCACATAACTGATTTCAATGTGCATACCGCCAAACCCTATCAATCAAACATGTCTGCTTGCATGGGGGAGACATGTAGATATGACAACGCTGTTTGTGTTACATGTAATTTATGGCGCATGAGATACACAAAGAGGAGAGATGAGGAGAAGATTTACAGGGAGCTGTAAAAGTCGAAAGTAAGCTGACTCCGGGTCAAGGTTTGAACTTGACAGGTGCTTATCAAAGGAGGGACAGACTGACATGTCCTATTGGGGGTGGATAGGAGGTGATGTGGACAGCAGCAGGGTGGGGGGGAGGGGGGAGAGAGAAGCATCATTCATCACCTGTCAGATACCGGACCAGTAAGGTCGAGACATGGGACTGGAGACAATGGCATAAATGATTACCCAAACCGCCTTGGCTACTCTTAAGACATGCTTTTTTTATCCTCAGGGTCAGTGTTTTGAAAAATAAATGTCACACCTCTCCCTACTGCTTGCTAAGATTACTAACCTGCCAGGCCTAATCATACATTCGGCTATAATCACACACCAACGAAGTCCCAAATGAAACTTTCAAGTAGAGGAGAGCTTGGGAAAGCATTAGAAATAAGATACAGGAAGGAAAAGTGAAACTTTCACACAAAATATTGCATTTAAACCCGATTTTTTTATTCCAAAATAGCACAGGGTAAACAAGAAGTAAACAAGAACTGTTTACCTTTCCAAGGACACCAAAAATTGGCATTGCACTTCATTAAAAAGTTGGCGATGGAGACTGCCAATTGCCCACAGTAAAGTTGTTGACAGCTGGGATTTGTAAACAAAAACACTGCGCTTTCACAATCATCAGTCTAATGGCCAGAGTAGCCCTATAGTTTACTGAGTGCTATCTGAAAAAGTGAAGTGAAAATGAGTGTTCATCACACCGAGCCAACCACATTCTGCCCCTTAACTTATCTAGAGTTTCTTTTAGAACAGAACTAATAATGCAGCAGATTGTCTTTTCAGTGTGTTGGAAATTACCTTGGCTGTAAAGACTGTTCATTCAGGACTTCATTTGCTTCATATAAGCTCTATTACGTCTGCACTGAGGGCTGTTTAGGAGACTTAATTAAAGTGTGGTGGACAGAGCACTCTGCTTTGTGAACAAACCTTTGTGTTATGACTTTTATCATCAGAGAGCACACAGCTACATGTGCTATCATGCAGTGTGGCTGGGAAAGAATAGGTTCGGGTGGTATTTTATAGCCCATTATTGAGGGAAAAAAACTATTGCACCATTTTCTATGCTCTGGGGTTTTCTTTGCATTTTTCTCTGTTCCTGATTTTAAAGGGTCTTAGTTGTAGTTGGAATGCAGATTTTTAAAACTTTGTACAGAGACAGGTAGTTTACCTGAGCTAATTGTCTTCTGACTCTAGATTCATGTAGAGTCAGAAGTGTACATATATTAGAGTGGTAATGTAACTGTTGGCCACAAAGCGAATACAAGTGTTTCCCAAAATGTCTGGTATTTAGGTGAAGTGACCCAGTCTGTCTGCCCTCCAATGAAAAGACAGACAAAGTGTTTCAGTTTGGCATGGCAAAGCCAATAGAGATGCAGTTGGACACAGAATAGCAGTAGGTATCAAGTCAGTCTTAATGAGGATATTAAAACCAGATCATGCAGCCATCCTGCTACTTCCGAATGTCACCTCTCCCTGCCCCTCCCACCCATTCTTGATCATTTTCCTCACTCTTTTATCTCACCTTCCCACTGTGATGGACTCACAGTAGTCCTGGTGGTGATTTCACAGTCTGCCAGTTAGTGGCAGTGGGCTTGGCTAGCCTGTGTGAAACTGTCTAGAGTGTGGGAATGTCATCTCTGTGATCCCCTTCCCCGCACTGTGCTATGCCTGGGATCATGCCCACTACCTGCTGGGAAAATCCCACCTACCTCACTGCAGGAGAGAGATTATGCTCTCTGTCCACCACCCCCCGCCCCCCGCCACCACCCACCCACCCCTCTAGGCTTTCATTCTGCTCCATGTAAGTAGAAATGCACATGCTGTTTTTAAGTCAGCTGTACACTGACTGTAACTACACCAGAATTCAATAAATATAAAAGCAAGGTTAAGGTCAAATCCATTTCAGTTTGGATGGATTTAAAAGCTGGAAGTGTATGTCACATAGCAACACGGCCTTATTGCCCAAACTGACATTTTGTAAATTAAATCGTATTGATGCAGAAACCTTGTTGTGTAAGCTCAAGGTGTCACATGTCCACTGATGATGTGTCACATGTGAAAGTGAGATTGCAGCCAAGAGAGGTAGCAGTTGATGAACTCTGTATCAGAGAGGGAATGAGACATGGATGAGAAGATACTGACGGGGATAAGAAAATGTATGAATACAAAAGCACAGCAAGATGAGGTGAGGCAGCACGGGTCGAGAGAGATCAGATAGAATTGAAAGTGTGGAACGAGTCGAAGCTACAAAAGCCTGAGAAACAAGAACAGTTAGATCAGAGTGAGATTGGGATCCAATCCTGGAGAAGATCCCCTGTTCCTTGCCTGCCCTTTATCCCGGGGGCGTGTCGCCACCTGCTACCACATCCACTTTCCTGTTTAAGGATCAGTACAAAGATCCTATCATCCTGTCTCCATCCTATGTACTCTTTCCCCATACACAGACAGGACCATTTGCAAACATACAAGCACTAAAGCTAGAATGTATACGCAGTTTAGCTTTCCCCAGTCTAAGCAAACACTTCCTAGAATATGTGCATGCAACACACACTTGGGCAGCTGCAGCAGTGCTTAACTAGGGAGGTAATTGACTTCAATGCCTGGTACACAGGAGTGAAAAACGAGGTGAAATTGACTGTACGCTGCAGGCTCTGGAAGAGAAGTCAATGAAGAATTAAACTGTGTGAAGGTCAGGCTGTTGTGCTTTTCTGATTGTGTGTATGTGCAAGCAATCTATGTATGCAGACAAGAGAAAATTCACATTTGCTTGTAAACAGGGAAACGCTAGGGCTAACTTGTCCTTCGATCTGTCCTTGTGTGTCTTTAGGTATTCAAAGCTGAACGACCCTGCAGACTGGTTGTCCATCAACAGAACCAATGGTCAGATCGTAACCACAGCAATGCTCGACCGGGAATCTGTCTATGTTAAAAACAATATATATGAAGCCACATTCCTGGCAACAGACAATGGTAAGAGCCTCTTTTAATGCACATGTTTTATCAGTAAGCATTTTGTTACATTTAAAATCAGAGTGATTGAGGTTGCTGCTTCTTATGTACTAGTTTGTCAGAATGCAGATTCAGAACATGGACAATGTAAATTTTTATCATTTAGTAGACTTTTCATTTAGTTTAGTTTTAATTTAGTAAAATGAAGGGATTATGGGGCTGAATCACAGGACTGGCAATTTATTAGTAATCCTAAAAAAACGACCATTACATGCTACCACACTACCCCCAAACAAAGTATGAAACATCATAGAAAGCACTCTGGAACATGATCTTAGTAATTTTACACATTTCACATTATCTACATCATGTATGTTCCTTATACTCAGGGCTTATGACTAGAGGGTCACCTGTTAAACCCCCCAAACCAGCTGTAGACATGTGGGTGAAATGAGAAAATGAAAAGTTTCCTTATTAAGCAAGGCACTCAATTCAATTCAATTCAAATTAGCTTTATTGGCATGAATGTGTAACAGTATTGCCAAAGCATCATACAAACTACATAAGAACAATCAACCCCATACATTTCATTAAACAAGTAATTAAAGCATATGTGTGTTTGTCTTAGAAAAATTTAAATATAAAAAATTTAAATAAATAAATAAATAAAACAGTAAGAGTTTGCGTGTGTGTGTTAAAAAAAATGAAAATATTAAACATTAAAATAATATAAATAGATAATACCGTAAACGTGTGTGTATATTAATAGACAAAAAATTAAAAAAATTAAGGAATTGATTAAAAAAGAATTTAAATTTAAAAAAAGAATGAAATCAGTATCAAATGTAAAAACAAAACAATTACTAAAATATCAAACAATCAAAATAATAATAATTGAAAATTTGTACAATTATTTATCAGTCTGCTTTTCCACTGGTTGTCCTCACTTCATGGCATGAGGAGACATATGCATATGCATTTGCAGCAATTATTTGACATTTGGGCATTTCTCCCAGTATATAGGGGAGTTTCTGTGTGTATAAATTTGAATTCGGGGTATATTTGGGAAATGTTTGCAAAGTGTTTTTGTCTTAGTGTTTTATACTTAGGGCATGAGGTTAGAAAGTGAAGCTCTGTCTCTACCTGTCCTGTGTCACACTGGCAGCAGAGTCTCTCCTCTTGTGGTAGCCAGCTCTGTCTGTGGTGACCCTTTTCTATGGCCAGGCTGTGTTCACTCAGTCTGTATGTTGTCAACATTTTTCTTATTTTAGGACATTTTATTGTGCTACCAGGTAATTTGCCAGTGTGAATTCTCTTTTTAGGGTCAGATAACATTGTAATTTACTTTTTGTTTTGGTCGTTGCTTTCCAGTATTCAATATATTTTTCTTTCTGCTTGTTGATAATTTGGTTTGGTCTGCTTGAGTTGGTGTTGCTGTCCTGAGGCTGTTGGGGGCTTGTTACTGCAGAGAGCCCCAGGACCAGCCCGCTGAGGGGACTCTTCTCTGGTTTCAGCTCCTGATATGTTAGGGCTTTATGATGGTATGTCTCGGGGTTAACTGATTTTAATTGATTGTAAAATTTAATTGATCTTTTCTGTATTTTTAGTAAGAGGGGGTATTGGCCGAGCTTTGCTCTGCACAGGTTATTTGGTGTTTTTCTCTGCACCTACAGGATGCTCTTACAGAACTCGGTATGGAAAGATTCTATGATTGTTTTGTCCCATTTGTCAAATTCATTATTTAATTTTGGCCCCCAAATTTCACTACCATATAGAAGTATTGGTTCTAGTACAAACTGGAAAATTTTAAGCCAGATTTCAATTGGAATATAGATTTTAATGTTTCTTTTTATTGCATAGAAAGCTCTCCTTGCTTTGTCCCGAAGATCTTTCACAGCCATGTTGAGGTTTCCTGTGTATGTAATATTAAGGCCAAGGTAAGTATAGTTTTTTGTATGTTGTAGTTTAGTGGTGTCTAAATAGAAATTGTGTGTAACCTGATTTCTGTATTGTTTAAGATATCTTTGCCGTGTTTACTGTCAGGGCCCAGGTCTGATAGTGCTGCTGCAAACCTTCTTTAGTAGGTGAAAGCAACACTAAGTCATCTGCATACAGCAGACCTCTGATCTCTGTGCTGTTCAGGATGAGGCCAGGTGCTTTGGAACGCTGTAATTGGTTTGCTATTTCATTGATATATAGATTGAAGAGAATTGGACTGAGATTGCATCCCTGCCTCACTCCCCGGCCCTGGGAGAAGAACACTGTTTGTTTGTTTCCAATCTTTATGGCACATTCACTTTTTGTATACATGTTCTTAATCAAATCATATGTTTTTCCTCCAATGCCACTTTCAAGTAGAATATAGAAAAGGCCCTCGTGCCAGATGGAATCAAAGGCTTTTTCGAAGTCAACAAAACAGGCATATAACTGTCTTTTCGTAATGTTTAAGTCTTGATCAATTAGAGTCTGGAGGGTAAATATATGGTCCATTGTGCGGCAATTTGGCATTTATGCAGAATATTGTGGTCATCAAGAAATTTGACAAGTTGACAGTTGATTAATGATGTTGCAGAATATTTTTCACAGGTTATTTGGGTCATATTTATCTCCGGATTTATGAATTGGGGTTATTAAACCTTTGTTCCAGATGTCTGGAAAATTCCAGTTGCTAGAATAGTACTGAATAGTTTTAGCATAGCCAATCTGATTTTATGGTCTGAGTATTTGATCATTTTGTGGAGGATTCCATCAATACCACAAGACTTTCCTTTCAGGGACTGGATGACTTCTGTTAATTATTGTTCTGTTAGCGGGCAATCTAGAGGGTTTTGGTTGTTTTTTATCACCACCTCCAGAGTTTTCCATTTTTTGAATATCTTGTACTGATCATCATTTTTTGAAATATTACTGTATAATTCACTAAAGTGATTAATCCAAGTATTTCCATCTTGGATCGCCAATTCATCCTGCTGGGTTTTGTTTAGGTTGTTCCATTTCTCCCAGAGCTGGTTGGACTCTAAGGATTCCTCAATTTCACAGAGCTGGTTCTTGCTGTGTTGTTCTTTCTTTGTTTTTAGCGTGTACTTGTATTGCTTCAGAGGGGCCTCATATTGACAGCGTATGTTGTGGTTATCTGGCTCCCTATGCTTTTCATTTGATAATTTCCTTAAAGTTTTCCTTAGGTTTTTGCATTCAGTGTCATTTGTTACCATTCATTTGTTAAGGTTTTGGTGCTGAAGCTTTCAAATTAGACAATAAAGCCAAATGGTGAAATATTGACCCCAGCAGAATTTACACCAGAATTATTCTGGGGAAATGTTTAAGTTAGAAATAAATGAGTTAAATCATGTATGTTTTGATTTTCCAGTGCCTTTTGGTACACCCCCATGCTGTCTGTGGTCCATCTGTATGAGTATGTGCTGTTAAACAGTTCACAGGCACTAGGGGCTCCAGACTTAGACTGAGCCCTTTTCAGATAGATAGTGATTTTGCTGTGGTCTGAGAGGGGTGTGAGGGGGCTGACTATGAAAGCTCTGAGAGACATTGGATTTAGATCTGTAATGAAATAATCTACCATAGTACTGCCACTCACTGCTGATTAAAGTTGAGCCGGAGTTGAATGCTTGTAATGTTGAGAATCTGAATCATTGTTGGAAATGATCTGATGTGTAGGTGAATACAGGTTAGAGGGAAAGGGTCACAAATGTTGTTAAAAATGAAGACATTTGGTGGATTTAGGGGGATATAAAGACATGGAAGCTCTGCAGCATTCAAGTGCAGTGCAGCTGGGTTAGAGTTAGAGAAAATCCTGGATTCACACAACTGGTCACACTCTTGATCCTCTCCTCTCCTCCTTCTTATCATCTGTCCATGACTGCCTTCTCCTTCCCTTTCTCACAGTGTGGCATTTGTTCTGCCTAAAAGTTGAAACTCAAGTTTAACCGAGCACAAACTCAATCACAGCAAACAAATAAGTTCCCTTTTCTCAAGTGGAATTGAGTGCCTTTTCTCGTGGAAAAAGGGAATGCTTTTCCCCTCCCAAATTGCCTTATCATTGACGTGCAGTGCACCTTAAGTTGAGCAGGCTTTGAAACATTGCTGTATTTATAGGTGTGAGCATGTGTGAAAAATGCACTGATTTGAAACACATTTATGTGATCATACAAGTGTGTTTCTGTACTTTATTTTTGCAATGATTGACAATGTCAGACACCATGACGTGTAACCTGCTGTGCTGATGGGAAGGAAAGGCAGCGGGATTAGAGGTTGACTCGCTCCTGTTGTTTGGACTTCACAAACATCTCATTTACTTCCCTCTTTTCTTTCCCTATTATTTTCTGGGCTTCTTTATCATTTCAGTATGTTAACCTATTTTCTTGAAGAACCTATAGACCCTTTTGAAACTTTTTTTTGTCTCCACCAGACCCATAGCCTGGGAAATCTGCAGAGCACATGTTTAATTTGCTCTGGAAGATAAGTTTCACCCCCCTGACCATGCAAATTTCTACCCATCCTGGATCTGGTTGGAACAATCACAAATATTTCTATAGTATGGGGTGGGTTTGATACGATGAGTGACAGAAGGGAGTCACTGTTCCAGATTTGAAAAGTCACCTCAACATCACCCTGGGCTACGTTGCACGTTTTGTTGTTCTTTTTAGTTGTAGGTATCCATTTGCATCCAGAGCCATTTTGAGCTGCACCCCCCCCCCCCCAATTGGAAATTCCAAATGAACTGAGATGTTCCAGACTAATATGCATTTGCAAATAATTTCCTTAAGGTCTAGTTCCAGATTCAAACTAATGGGGGGATGATATGTTGTTTAAATTTTCCATCTGGTTCAGTTTGCATTCACAAAGGGTAAAAAGACAACAAACCCCTCCTGATTTCTACCTGGATATCATACATCACAGCACCGTCAGGTTCATGTTTGTGTTGGCCTGGAGCGCATATCGTCAGACTTTAGAGGGCCAGGCATTTGAACGTCTCGTAAGACATTAAATATTTTAATAATAATGCA